AGACTAGCTAGTAGCCCCCGACCACTCTATTCACGTCTCAGAACCTTCAGGTTAAAATACGCCGCGAAGTGTCTATGGCCCAGTATAAAGGGTGAATAAATTCGCGGGACATCGGCGGGTCCTTATATCCCTTCGGTACCCTCTCCCCAAAGTCATTAGCAAAATCGTCGGTTAGGTCAGGCGGGAATCGACTATTTTTCGCGGGAAACCGATTACTTTTCGCGGGAAATTTCTGTTCTTAATTTATTACTTGCAACAATCTATTATAACGCTACATAAAATAATTTATACGTTTCTATAACTTTCTTCGATGGATAACTACGTTTCAATGTCCTCGTTACTTTCTGGTGGTTTAATTAATTTGCTAAGGATTAAAAATCAGGTTGACCTGTGGTCGTAGATCAAAAATAACCATAGTACAGCTAAATTTATCGTAATAAATAATTCTTTTCACACGAATCACGAATGTATTCAACGTTTGTTTGTTATAATATCGTGAAATGAATTATTTGTGCAGTTCTGTGCATTTTCTGTGCAGTTCAACCTAATTTACTTAAATTTACATTGCGAGACAGTATACTGTAACAAGTAGTAACAAGCAAACGTTGAATAAATTCCTAATTCGTATTAAAAAAATTATTTAACACAATAATTTCAGCTTTATTATGATTATTCTTGATAAAGGACCACAGGTCAACTTGATTTTTAATCGTTATAATCTTTAAATTCAGTGTGAATAGAGAAAATGTGTAATATAATTCATTTCACGATATTATAACAAACAAACGTTGAATACATTTATTTCATGGTATTGTAACAAGCAAACGTTGAATACATTTTTCATTCGTGTAAGAAGAATTATTTAACACGATAAATTTAGCTGTACTATGGTTATTTTTAATCTACGACCACAGGTCAACCTGATTTTTAATCCCTACGAAATTAATTTAACCACGAGTAAGTAACGAGAACGCTAAAACCTATGTTTCCATTGAAGAATATTGTAAAAACGTATAAATTGTTATATGCAATGTTATAACAAATTGTCGGAAGTATAAATTTTTAATAAAATTGTGAAAATTGATAAATTATACCGTGTTACGATATCGGAAATCTCCCGCGAAAATCTCCCGCGAAAATTTCCCGCCTGACCTAACCGACGATTTTGCTAATGACTTTGGGGAGAGGGTACCGCAGGTATATAAGGACCCGCCGATGTCCCGCGAAATCATTTACCCTTTATACTGGGCCCTAGACACTTCGCGGCGTATTTTGACCTGAAGGTTCTGAGATGTGAATAGAGTGGTCGGGGGCTACTAGCTAGTCTATGTCCACCCTGTACACACTCAGCCTTCTTGTAACACTTGTATACATTAGAATCAATTAGAATTTCTATTACTAATTATTAAACAAATTTTAACAATTACCGGCACTCGCTAGGCACGTAATATCAGACTTTAAATACTCGACTTCGAACTTCGGTTTAGTCATAATTCTATTAATGTTATAATAACGTATAATTTATTAATTTTCACAATTTTATTATTAATTTATACTTCCAAAAATTTGTTAAAACATTACATATTATTATTTATACATTTTTGCAAGTTTCTTTGACAAATAAGTACGTTTCAACGATCTTATTACTTTCTCGTTGTGAAATCAAGTTCGGAGGATTAAAAATCAGGTTGACCCTTGGTCGTAAATTTAAAATAGCCATAGTGAAGGTGAAATTATTATTTTAAATAAATGTTTCTATACGAATTAAGAATCTATTCAACGTTTGTTTGTTGCAATACCGTGAAATAAATTGTATTATATATTTTCTCAGTTTAGACTGAATTTAAAGTTCGTAAGGATTAGAAATCAGGTTGACCTGTGGTCGTAGATTAAAAATAGCCATAGTGAAGGTAAAATTATTACGTTAAATAATTGTTTTTATACGAATTAAATATTGATTCAACGTTTATTTGTTGCAATACCGTGAAATAAATTGTATTATATATTTTTTCTGTTTACACTAAATTTAAAGTTCTGTTTACATGTTATAACAATTAGAATGTTGACGTTTTGCCGTTTCACGGTTTTTCCTCTGTTAATTATGTGTTTATAAATCATTTCAAACTAAAGCAGCACCATGCCCACCCTTAATTAAACCGTCTCAGTAGTTTACCGTAATTAATAATCTATTTTCGGAATTTATACGAGAATTTTTGAATTTTAGTAAATACTAGAGTCAGTGCATCGCGTATTGAAATAATAGCTTCATCCCTAGTTCGTTTATTATTGAATATTTTTACGCGTTTAACTTATGCTTCTCCCCAATTCTCGTCGCGTATTTTATTCAAATTTTCTTATATTCTAGAATCGAGAAAGATACGAATTCGCGTTTTTTCTTTTGATTCTTTCAATTTTTCAATTACATTACGAATTATTGCAATAATTTCCATCGTTACATTTAATTCTGATCGTTTAGCAGCTTTTCTGCTGCTATCGACCCTACATTTTACTGACACTTGTGGAATCGACCCTACATTTTTTTTTTTGTACGTGGAGGTAGGCCGACTCTATGTGATAAACAATTGGCAACCAAATGGTGGCTCGCTAAAGCGATATATTATGAAATTAAATTAATCACTCCATAAGTTTTAACGTTAGATTGTTTCCTCGATATGGCCATGGTGGTTATCAGTGACTGGAGTGCCTCAAATGTTTAGAATAATTAAAATAAAATAAATGTTGTCAACTAAAAATTTTGAACGTCATAGCTAGCTAGACATTATTTTCAATTGAAAAAAAAAAATTATAAAGCATAATACTATAATCCTATGCTTAAAATGTATTTTCTTGTACTGCGAGCGAGATAATCCATCTATCCTGTCACTTGTAGAATCCAAACTTACTGACTCTTGTACAGAATTTACTGTATTCTAAAATCTCATTTTCTATTATTTTATTTTCTATTATCTTCTATACTCCAAAATCTCATTATCTATTATTTTCTATTTTCTGAAATCTCATTTTTTATTATTTTCTATTTTCCATAATCTTACATTCTGCTATATCGAGGAAAAGATGAAATATAAAAAATAATCGAAACGCTCACAATTTGTATACACATCGTGTTAAAAACTTTAATTTGCTTCAATATAGAGATTAAGTACCTTTCTGTGATTACATATCTTTTATAATTGAAAAAATACATCGAGATATTCAAGCGATACCGGAAATTAATTTATCAACTAACATATTACACAATGGGTTATTTCACAGAAGATTCTAAGAAAGATAAAGCTTGATAAAAGTTACAAATTTCTTTATAGATAAGTAACAATAAAAAATATTCTTTTAATAGCATCGGTGTAGTAACATTTATACAGAATTATTACGTGAAATTTCCTATTAATGTCCTTTACAAATGAGAAATCAAGCGACGTTAGAATTTTATGTTTGCTTAATCGCTACAAACTCGTTAACTACATATATCGCATTTCGTGTAGATTGTACATTTTGAAAATAACAATTCTCCCCTGTGCAAAGCGATCTATTCAATTCTGCAAGTCAATTTTTCGATCAATTCTAGATATCTAAATAGCCGATTAAATTTGCCGCGGATAAAAACAATAACGTTATTCGTGATGTTGCACATCACACGTGTTAATTCGATAAGAAAATTCATTCAATAAATACAAAGATGAAATAAAATTTATTTAACAAATAAAAATATACTGGAATGCTTCAGCTACAACAAAATATAACGAGCTTCTTACTGGCTTTAACCAGGAACATAAAATAAAATGCACATACAAAATATCTATCATTCAAGGTCTGTCCAATCGTATATCGAGCCAAACTTTGTGTATACTTTCCGTACCATATGGATTAAAAGAAGAAAATTAAAATTATCATTAATTTTCATGAAAGTTAGGATATTTTAAATCAGCGACGAATTTTTCTTCTTGCAAAGAAGTTGCATTGATTCCTACATTCGCGAGTCAAAGGAATTTTTAAGGAAACCAAAACACTAATCGCACATATCCAGTTTAGGTGTAAATGTATCACTTCTCAACATAAATAATTCAAAGTGCAATTGGTTGTATCTACCGCAGTCTATTAAAGGGATTATTTTCGGTTAAAATTGTAAACATGCTTAAACAATGAAACTGTGAATATGAAATGCATTGAAAAATGTAATACTATAAAATCTATCACTACAACAGAGAAGAAATTCGCGTGAAGAATTGCAGCTGTAAACAATACTGAGTTAAATAATATCGTTTTCTTAGCAGCCTATGAAACAATTAAATTAAACAACATTTGATTGGTAATTTTCTATTATCTTACATTGGGAGACTATTTTACAATAAAACAGAAATGAAATGCATAGAAGATGATTATGTTTAGGAAACTTATTGTGAAAGTAAATTACGTTCAATATTTTTGAAAATTAGTTTAGAAGAATTGTTAAAATACAGAAATCGTACGTTTTTTCTTTCAATAGGAAATTATGGTAAAAATTTGAATAATTTCACAGAATACTGGCACAAAATGATCCTACTAAGATTCAAAGCATTTCATCTTCCTGTACACCACTCTTAACAGTTCCAAATAAACCGTTAAACAGAGGAGAAAGAATTTTTCTACGATGAAACTTTGTGTAAAATAACATTTAATATTAATTATTACTATCAGGACAAATATTAGAATCACAAACACCAAAATTATTACTCTCGATTAAAATAGTTTCCCTATGAATAGGATATTACACAACAGTTATACGTAAGTGTTTAGACTTTATGGCACGGAATTGTTACAGCAAAGTTCTGATTAATCACAATCAATGGCAACACAAAAAGCAAATGCATACTTGCAAGTACACTCTCGATAGATATACGCATATTTCTTGAAATTAAAACGATACGTATCCATACTTCTCGAGAGATTTTCGATTTAGATAGAATAAAATGGTAAAAAAAAAAAAAAAGAACAGTACGATGCGACTACGCGTTCAAGAGGTCATCGTCGCTATCCGTTTGATACTGCGTGGGGTCAACGTCGAGCAGAAGACGAGCTTCCTCGGTGGTGTCAACCTAGAGTGAACAAATAAAAAACGTAAATTATAATTTAATAGAAATTATCAATTGCTCGGTTAATCTATACATCTTTTATTTTAAGTCAGCACAGATTTAACGTGGCATATCATTTTTAGTTTTGTGATTCGACGTTTGTGAATTCGTGCATTCTTCGTTTTAATTGCTATTTTAGAAGTTACGATGACTTAGATGCAAAGATTTGTTCGATTAAAATTTCAATATTCGATAAGAATCCTTTTATTTTAGAAAAAATTACCATAGTCTACTAAATTTAGTAAGTATATTTTGGAATTTATTTAAATAGGCTGATATTCATAGTAGAATTTATTTAGAGACTGCAATATGGATAAACATTTGTTATATGTAATTTAATATTAGTTTAAAAAAAAACTTAAAATCTTCTCATTTACATAGTAACTTCAACAGATTATAATACAGATATAAAAATTTAACTTATTAATCTTCATATTTGAAAACTAACGAATAACTGTACCTTCATAAAAGGGCACATATTTATAAATAAATTTAGCTCGAGGTAATTCTTACTAAAATAACAAACCAATTTTTCTGAATTTGACGTTGAAAAATTTTTGCGAAAGATTAACTTAACAAAATAAATCTGTATTTGCAAATATTTTCAAACAGCTCGTAATAAAGTTGCTAAACGATACAAATCGGTGTGTTTCAACGCGCGAATAATTAAACAGCACTTAACACCTAACGGACGGGTCACGTAAATTTACGTTTTTGCTTGAATCTTTATTACGCTTCTCTTAAAAAATGCCCGGAAACCGAGAAAGACGGAGAAAAAACAACCCGTCTGTTAAGTGTTAAGAGACACGAAGCTCGTATCATACCCTGCAGTACTGCACGCGACCGCTGCCTCTTCTCGAGGAAAAAGGATTGAAACAAGAGCGCAAGCATGCTCTTTTATCAGGATCTCGGAAATAAAGCAACGCTGCTACCAAAGCGATAACAGTCAGCACGATGCCTGCCACCGTACCAGCTGAAATAAACGAACAATCAATAATCATTTTATTCCACAAGTTCCGTAAATATTACGCGACTCGTGAGACATTTAAAAACAAGATGGCGATACAGTAAATCTTCCTTTATCCGTTTAACACAACGCGCTGTTAAATTCTTGTTTTTTTGCTCAGGTCGAGCAATAAAACGACAGGAAAATTTGAAAATACACTAAGAAACGGAGAAAAATATGATTATCCTGGGAAAGATAATTAATAATTTCATTTTGGTTAGGTTAGGTCATCCCGTAAGCGAAAAATATTTGAATGAAAATTAAAGGAAATTTTATAGCGACGATACAATAGTTTTGCCAAAAAAAAAACAAAAAGGAAGAGTTTTTTTCTTATCAAATTTAAGGATTTGTTAGAAATTTGATCTAAATTATAAAATTCGACAGGAACTTATGGGATGACCTGAAAATATAGAAGAAGAATTGATAAAATTATGATTATGCAAAATGAAAAATTGGAAAAATATGTTCGAGGGCATTATAGAGTATTAATAAAAATGATGGAATTCTAACGAAATAGCTGGCTCTATAGAAAATTATCTGAACGCTGTATGATCGATACAGGTTACGATTCCTCAGCTCCTTTTAATCCCAAAAACTGGTGGCAGTCGAATTAATTGATTAGTCCCTGGTACTATAATAATAATCTCAATCAAGATAGGCGACTTTTCGAAGCTCCTGTCGCAACTTAAATATATACCCGAATTCTTTTCTTGGTGATTGATAAAACAAATTATAATCGAGATTGCGTACTTTAAACGTTACTTTATCAGCAATTACTCAGCTGTTTGTTCTCATTACGAAAATTACGCACACAGTCGTGAGTATTTTACTGCTCCTATCTTTCTTTTTAACACCTTCAATGCCGGACCAATCATAACTTGTCTATTACAACACATCGCAATATGCATAATTAATATGTCAACAGTTAGAAATAAAACTATTTAAATACGCTGTATAATGCATTAGACGAAAATTTGACAAATGTGGAATCTCGATAACTCGAAAACCTCTGTAAGACGAAAATTTTCTTCGTTTCCTTTCCACTCCGCTGTAAGAATCTCTACAAATCTCTCTCTCGAAAGATCGAAGAAATAAATTAAAGCACAGTTCTGTCGTTTCTCATTCTATCGAAAATAAATTCTGAACGCAAGCGGAAAACGTTAACATCGGCTGATAAAACGAACGTAATTGAAACAGTAAAAACTAGATGAAGAAAGAAAAAAAAAGGGTACTATAATACCAACGACCTCTCTTATTCGATAACTCGAGGTTATCCAGATTCCACTGTATTACCATTTATTCAAATGAAATGCTTTCACTCATCTTGACATCATATGTTACCAATGACCCTCGTGGCATTCAACGTGTTAGCACCCGTTGGTAACCCAACGTGGCAACGTACAAATTATACTTACTATGACTAGCAGAGAAGTCTTGCACGCCTTTGGGTGCGTTTGAAGGATAGGTAGACTGCTGAGAGCTCGATTGGCAGACGCAAGTGATGTTTGTGTGCCATTCGAATTCTACGCTGCACTGCGACTCCTGTGTTTAAACAAACGAGAGAACGACATCGATAAATAGAGTGCTTGCCAAAAAATGAAAACTGCAACACTTGGAAATTAGGAAAAAATCACATTTTTTAACCAAATTTTAATTATTTTTGCCTTCCAATATCTCGGACAATATACAGTTATTCCCGTTAGTATTGTGGCACACTTTAGAACAGTATAACTTTTTTAAAATTGGACCAAACGACTTGAATTTTTTTGAGAAGTCAGAAGAATCAGTTTACAATATTTATCATTAGTGTGCAATAAATTGTGAAAAAATTGGAATTCGTGGGAATCGCGAAGAAAAATGTAAAGGTCACTTTGTGACTGCAGTGGAAATTTAAAACATACGTTTCAAAGATTTATGTCAGTTATATTATACATGCTGAAAAGTTAAACGAAATCAATTCGACGGTTCGTTTCAAGATATTGCAATTTTCTTTTTTTAGCGAGCAGTGAATGTAACGAAATAGATCAACGAATATTTAGCATCGTTAAAACAGAGAATATTGTTATCGGTAGAGAATATTAATGAACACCTGTTCTTATACTTTGCAGCAATATTATTTTGTGGGGATTCACTTCTTCATTGGGCAATCTATCGTAGCGTATCTATTCGCAACGATGTCTCTCAACGAATACGCTCAATTATTTTATCACGTTTAATTTTTTTTTTTTAAACATACTCTTCTATTACGTTCAACCTCAATAAAGCAGAATCTTTAATTAAACTTAACCTCAATAAAGCGTAATCTTTTATTACGTTTAATCTCTAAATCGTAAAATCTCCTGATCCTCTATTACGTTTAATTTTTTCATTAGCACACTTCTGGTATTTAAAAATACGTATAAATAAATCTAGACGAACGTCTTGAAGGGATATGCGCATGTTACTTAATCTCGTAGTAAAAGTCGCTCTCTAGAATTACATGTAAATCGAGTGTAATATACGAAACAGATTAAAGTTCGTCCTTACATTGTATATATTCTTATAATATTTTTTTCGATAAAATCTACGTTACCGTACGGTCACTACACTTATCTACAAGTGTCCAGCGATAAATTTGTAATTTACATTTTCGCCGATACATGACGAATCCAACGAAAATGATATCCGTGTGTGTTTTTGTGTATAGCTTACGACAGTGATAATCTGTATCGTTTAATTGTGCTGAAGTATAGCTTAAGTATTGATAATTAATAGTATTCTTTCTTTGTTTCGTACCGATGAACTGTATTCGGGAAATAAATGTACATAAATGAATAATACTCGTTTTTTATATTTTTCATTTCGATTTTGAATTTTTGCTTAAAATTTTGCGATAACGCAAAATTTTTCTATTCGTAACTTTATTTTCGTCCCTTGCAACGATTTATCTTGCGTCGCGACTTTTTCTATGGTAAATATAGTTAGGTTAGGATAACTATATTCTCTAATTGCTATTATTAAATTTGATACAAGAATATTAGAAAAAATACGCAAATCTTAAAGTCTTTCTGAAGTGTTTCTTCTTTTTTGTATTCTGTTTGCTATTTTTATTTCTTCGCAGAAATTAAAATTATCATTTAGTCCGTTTTATTTGATGAAAATTTTTGAAAAGCTACAACGCCTTAGTAATGACAAGTTAATTGATCTTCGTCGACCACATTAAACTTCTACAAATGGTTGCACTAAAGGGATTAAGGGTTTTCAGAAATTCACCATTGAAACGTGAAAATAATGTAGGTTGTAGCTGAGAGATAAGTAGATAATGGTAATGATCCAATAATAAGAAATTCTTGTCCCGTTATTTTTACTTAGAAATGTTAGCTATTAAGGTAATACTAACATTCTCTTGAACCCATAAGTGCAAGGTAGAAAAATAATTTTCGAATATCACAAAATTTCTGTATACTCAATTGCAGCTGATTTTGAATGAAAATGTTCTTTCCGATTCATCTGGACACACAATTGTCACTTAGTATTTTGTTTTTTATTCAAATTTACACGAATAAAAGAAAATGAGATTGAAAATAAAATTTATAATAAAATTTGTCAATCAAATTTGTGAAATCAAAGTCATTAAAGGTAAAAAAAAAGAAAGGTGTATTCCAACACTGTTCATTATGGAATCCCTGAAATTTGTAAGAATGCTCCAAGTATAATATTGTGACAGAATGTTTCTGAATCAACGTATTTCCGTAATTAAGGGTTATCGTCTAACCGTAAGCACGGGGAAAATTCCCCAATTTTTACCATCAGACGAATTCCCAGGTATGAAAGACATAAATTAGGACACGAGTACTCTCGCACATCGGGATTTCCAAGCGCAAAGGGAAATCCTGCGTATTACAGGTTCTGAAGAAAACAAAGATTCGAACCTGTTTCACGAGATGCCAATGTTCGGTTCGTGGCATTTCAAAGTAAAGCTAGTACATATGTACACTGATTGACCACTGACGGAATCACTGTTGAAGAACGAAGAACCGAACGAAAATGCAGGCAAAATCGTGAAACGACCGAAAGATGATTTTGAAAATTCTAAAATAATCTAATTTGAGGTCGCATCAATATCTTAGTTATTAGCGACCATAATTGGCCGTTATTCTACTATATACCTCACAATAAAGGTTTATTCTATGGATAAGTTGGACTGCATTCTTGAAATTTTCTTCTGTTTCAAATATTTCTTTAGTGTTATCAAATTTTGTTAAATTTTATTGGCAGGGTTCACAGTATAGTAGGTTTGTTTTATTTAGAATGCAGTTATGTGCAACCTCAGTATGCCTGATTATTCATTTCAAGTCTGTTAATTAGTACTTCTTCTTTTTTTACTGAATTTCACTGTAGCATGGTTTGTATAGAAGTCGTCGATAATTATTTATACTTTATTTTATCATAAACGGTAAATAAACGAATATCGATATTACTGAATATTAATAATATGGATTAGTTTAATATTAATAATTGAAACTGTTGTAAAATAAAAAATTGTCATACTACTTTCATTGCAAGAAAGTACACTTAGCCCTCACCGGTACAAAATTAATCACAAACAAGGATAAAATTATCAAAAAATATTCTATCCAGAATCTAACGAATGGCACACAGGAGTAATATTTAAAAGCCACTTCTCTAGTTGCTATGTAAAAGAAAAGAGAAGAAAAGCCTCCGAGTGGTTGTACCTTGGGGCACGTGGCAAGAGCCAGTGAAAGAAACGGAAACGGAAATAGTAATGCAGCACCGAGGTAAGCACACATCTGCTTACCCTTATGAAATCATCTTGTGAGATTTTTTTCAAGGGGCGCGCCACACTAAATAGGGAATACTTTTCATGGTAAAGAGCCACCGTGGAAAGTCCCCGACCCGTGCACGGAAGTATATTATTCTAGGCCATGTGGCGGCCAGAACTTTTCAGGATTAAAAATGTCCTGGTCACATCTGGGCACTTGAGTACTCCTGTGTCTATATACGCCTTCGAATCGGTGCTCCGGAAGGGAAAAAGAGTGAAAACCTTCCCTCCGATGCCCTATCGCGTTTTTATTGTACACCTCATCTTGCCCAGGCGAACTATAGTCGCGCTTTATGCGGGGTAAGTCGCGCAATTCGAGTGTATTTAAAGGGAGAAAAAGGCACTCTAGAGGAAAGAATTCAATGAACGATGTAAGAAGGTGTAGTTTTCTTTGGTCTGGTTCTTTTTTTAAAAACAACAACGTGAAATTCTGTTGTACTTTTATTTTCTAGTCTAGAGAATCAAAATTGGGGATTTGCTTGCGATATGTACGGTGATTATTTTGTTCGAAGTAACGTTGCAAATTAGAATAGGTATATAAGACGGGGAGAAGTTTGCATTGGTGACGTCACTGAAAGATTAGCGCGCGAAAATTTGAACTAAAAAAAGGCAGCGTGTAAATATTTTAGCGCAAATTTGTAAAGAGAAAGTATATAAATATTTTAGATGAGAGTGAAACGCGTAGAAATATGAAAGTAAATGATATTATAGCAATTTTTATGCACCTTGAATAATGTATAAAATACGTAAATAGTGTTACCAGACGAAAATTTGAAACATTGAAGTTACCGACGTGGAAATAACGAAGGATATAATTTCAAAAAGATATTAAAAATATAAAGGTTAAATATTGTGTGTACAATTGCGCAATACATATTAGCCAGGTGTAAAGTCTGAAAGTTATGCAATTTATAATATATAGGTATTACTCGCAATTATTAAGATCAATGGAAATTGAAAATTAAGCTACATAAGATAAAAAAGTGTTATATTCTCTACAAATCCTTTAACAGATACAATCACTTAGACTTACCGATAAAAATTGTCTGAAGCTCAGACTATTTACGTTTTCTAAATTCTTGGTCTTATTAATGAAGCAGATATCATGTACAAGTGGATAGATATTGTAACTATCAAAGTTCTTCAGAGATTGCGCAAACTTTTCCTACGGTTCAATATTAAACTCGACAAATCGATCGTTAATTTTCGTAATTTCATTGTTTAACAATATATCGTATCTATCTTTACTTCGAACGATTTTAAAATAAATGAGAAAAAAAAAAAGAAAAATTGAGGGAATAGAATATCGTTGAATTTTCTCTTGACTTCTGCAATAATAAAAGTCGAAGGTTTTTAAGAACCTTGTTCTACGTAAAGAGGAAGAGGCTGATATAACTTTTCTCCGTAAATATTTATAGAAGAAAAAGGGGACACGTGTTCGGTGAAGTATCAGAAAGCCCTTCGAAGAAAGTCGGGCTTCCGTTTCAAGGGACAGAAAAGAAACACTCGTTGCCAAGCCTCTTCAAAATGTTACATTATCTTCCTACATTTATTTAGATTTTTATTTATATATAGATAACGTTCAAAAAGCTATCTTAACATTTTTTTCTTTTTTAGGTTAGAAAAATTAATTTTGAAATTTCAGTTTTACATGAAATTAAGAAATGAATAAGTTATTTTTTGAATTGATGTATCCTAAACTTTTAAATTCGTAAGAATA